AAGAAGGTTTACCAAGATGGTGCTGAAGGCAAAGAAGGAAGCCCCTGCCTCTCCCAAAGCTGAAGCCAAAGCAAAAGCTTTGAAGGTCAAGAAGGCTGTGCTGAAAGGCATCCACAGCCACAAAAAGAAGAAGATACGAACGTCGCCCACCTTCCGCCGTCCCAAGACACTGCAGCTCCAGCGGCAGCCCAGGTACCCTCGGAAGAGCGCCCCCAGGAGAAACAAGCTTGACCACTAGGCCATCGTCAAGTTCCCCCTGACCACAGAGTCAGCCATGAAGAAGATTGAGGACAACACCATACTCGTGTTCATTGTGGATGTCAAAGCCAATAAGCACCAAATCAAAAAGCTGCAAAGAAGCTCTATGACACCGATGTTGTCAAGGTCAATCCCCTAGTCAGGCCTGATGGAGAGAAGCAGGCATCTGTTCCACTGGCTCCTGATTATGACGCATTGGATGTTGCAAATAAAATTGGGATTATCTAAACTGAGTCCAGCTGCTCAATCTAAATATATACTTTTTTTCTCAGGAAAAAAAAAAAGGAAGGAAAGGCCTATTTAGTTCACAGTTAGTGGAGGTTTCAGTCCATACATGGCTGGTTCCAAGGCAGAGCGGCACATGGCAGAGGGCAGCCATTCATGGCAGCAGAAAACAGCAAAGAGCAAAGGGAGGAGCAGCAGCTGCGGCAGCTAGCGAGCTTCTCTCCCTTCCTGACATTGTATGCAGATTATCTGCCCCAGGCCGGGTGTAGCACCCACACCCATAATCCCAGCATTGGATCATGAATTAATCACAAACTCTAGAAGATGCCCAAGTGACTGCATGAGGCTTTGGGGGGTGCCATTCAGCACCTAGTTATTGGTTAAGTATTCTTGGTTAAGTGTTCTGGGCCCTACTTAAAAATAAGGGCTGGCCAAGTAGCTCAGTGGATTAAGGCACCTGCAAGCAGGTGCAGGGGCTGGGGGTTCGACCCCCAGGCCTGTTGTTCCGGCCCTGCCCCTGGGGTGGGCTGAGACAGCAATTGAGCCTGGACATGGTGGTGCATGCCTATAATCCCAGTTCTTGGGAGGCTGTAAACAGGAGGATCACTATGAGTCCGATAGTCGTGAGACCCTGAACACCCTGTAGACCCTTCCCTAAAAATTAAAAAAAAAATCATCCTATGCTGTCCAGATGGCTTTCCTAATTGAACAGGTGCGTGGTGCTTGTACCTCAGAAACAAATATTTGGAGCAGATTTTCATTCAACCTAATTATGGCAGGGTTTTACTTTCTTTTTATTATTATTATTTT